CCACATTTTCGAGCAATATCCTGTTAATACAACATCGGACATTTCGATGTTATCCCATTTTGTTGATATTGCCAATATTCTCTTGGGAAATTGAATTACTAGGGTGTGGACTAGTCGATTTCTTTGTTTATATCGAGAGTGCTAACTTGTTCTCAATTGTGTCGTAACTTCCAAGTTCTGGATAAATCCTTAGCTTGTTTCAGATCTAATAAGTGGTGTTTTGTTGAGATAAAACTATGGAGCTTTTGATAGGTTTTCTTTTTTGCAGTGTTTCCTAGTTTTTCCACATAATGTTTGTGCACAACACGAGCTCATGTTGAAGCACACTTGATTCTCCGCCCATGAGTGCACACTGCGCTTAAAATATTCGTAGTTAACTTATATTATAAGAAAAACGTGTGAAATTAAATTCTGTTTTCCAGTAGCTTTGCAGGCGCAGAATTAATATCGGCTTCAAAAAAAAGCCTTAAACGGTGTTCAGAGCCACAGCAAAATTTGCACTGTATTTTCACAGGATTAGCATACGTATGAACTTGCAAAGTGGTTCGAAATTTTTATTTTAGTAAAGGAATTTAGAGAATTTGTTGCAGACAAGAACGAAATTCGATCAACATTCTGTTGTTGTGTTTCGCTTGTTCTATGGTTTTCATAACTGGAATATTCAGCATTTTGCATCGTTGTTGTAGCGCTGTCGATCTAAAACCGCTTAAACTTAAAACCGTTTTCTAATGCACATTCGAAATTGTTAACAAGCATTAGTAATTTCAGTGGATATTTATAACCATGTGTTTGTAAAAAGGAAGTAATTATTCAAACACAATTACCAAGGACACACCTATCACCATGTAACAGAATAATTAAAGATTACTTCATACAAATTTCAGTGTTAATCAAGATTATATGCTTGTTCAACGCGCGTTAACCTTTCAACCCGGTAACCCGTAACCATATAGTTAGTTACACAATACACTTACATCATGTGCCTAAACTACCGAACTATTGTAACAGACGAACAAAATAATACTATCATGAACACGACAACACAATTAACAATTTACACCAGTCAATAAGTCCGTGTCATTTAACAAATAATTGTCGTTCGCAATTAACATCGACGTCGTAATGTTATGTCATTATTGATAGGTGAATTTAAAATGGCCGCCGCTAATGAATTGACGTTTGTTTTAAACTGTCAATATGACGTTTTTAAATGGATGACCGTTATTGCTTTGCTGGTTTGGTCACTCGTTAATGACTTTAATCGTGCTTTTAATTATCTCCGTTGTGTGATATTTTAATTGAAGTTTATTTCTCTTAAGTGGACTGTGGTGTATGCAATCGTCTGTTTAATTCCAGATTGATTTTAGTACGTTGACCAATAAATCATAGATTCATTGCTGAGCTTTGTGTATTAATTTTTTAATGACTGCACGGTTGGCACGAGCTAGATAACTGGCTGCCGCTTAACGTGTAGAGGTTTGATTCCCGCACGGAGCAATTCTTTGTGTGATCCAAAAAATGTTGTTTCGGGTCAGGGTGTGAATTTGTATATTTGTTAACGCACCCAAGACATAGGAGAAAATAAAAGTGTTTTGTTCTTTTTTAACTTACTTACTTAAATATCGCGGGTTACTCACGTGAACATGCGTACTAACTCGGTAGGAATACTGCTCATGAGGAAGAACCCCTCTGTGGTTTCGAAACTAGTAGACTAGTAGAGCTTTTCTCAGTATATTCGTGTGAGTAACCCGCGAATTTTAGTTACATAATTTAGTAGGTCTCGCGATAGTTATTATAAAAAAGTAACGTTTGAATTTGAGCATCTTCCCCGCTTCGATCTTACATCAAAAAAATTACTCCCTGCATTGATCGTTTTCGACAACAACCCATCAACTATTAAAGGTACTGACTATTTCGACTTCAGACTTTAATTCTCAACAAGGGATAAACTGATCTTCACAAGTTTCTATCTCAAGTGATCCACGTGTACAAGGTACCCATCGATATTAAGCCGAGTTATAATTAGCTATCCATTAATTTGGTTCTGATTAGTTTTCGTTTGTGAAACAAAGCTATTAGTTTACCGGGCAGCTTATTGTTACGTATTGGGTTTGGGATAGGTAAATTGAGATTGACCTATTTGCTTTGATATACGTTCTATTAATAAATCTTATTGTTAAGTTTGACATTTAATAAAGTGTTTTTGGAGCCATTGAAATGCTTTGTTATTGACTGTTAAAATAAAATATGTAAATGGAATAAATACTTGTCAGGAATGAAACAGGAAATGAATAATATTTTGTAATTAAATTGTTACCATATATAAACTGGCAATACTTATTAAAATCCTGTAAGTAAGTAAATCATCCGATTTACTTCAATCAGTGATACCTCGTCAAAACATTTTTGTTAGTTTTTTTGCATTTCTTTTAATCTATTTTTGCTTAAAATCTAGAAATAGTGAGGCAGACAACGCGAAGCCAATTACTCACAAGTTGTTCACGAACTTGTTCAAGACGAATTCGGAAGGATTTCTCTCTGATAAGGGACAAAGACGAGATTTCGAACGAAATTAAATTATCGAAAAACTTTATCGATATTCAATTAGAGTTCGCTTTCCTACTTCTCGAATATATTCCGTGGTCGGGTCACTGACAGTGTTCCAGTAAGTGATAATACAATAATCGAATAAATTTCAATCTAGATGAATCTAATACAGACTCAAAAAAGCATTAATTTCGATTAAACCATAATTTGGTACTTTCGAAACGTCAATGCCAATTAGCCTTATTTATTTTACGATCAATACCTTCTTAATTCCTCATTTTGTCCTCGAATATGAACAATGAATAAATGAACATCTTACAACACACACTTACAATACTCCTAAACTACCAAAATGATAGTCTGTAATAATAAATGACTGCAAACGAGATCGCAGCTCCTTTTTCGTATCTTCCGATCTCTACATCAATAATTCTCGCAGGGATCTTGTAGCTGGACCGAGCTCTTCCGAATCCCACCCTCACACTTTCAAATACACATTTATATTCACCGCTTACAGCTTTTATGTCCTAACATTCAATATATAAAAGCCAATATTTTAGGCTTCAACCCCAAAAAAAATGTAAGTACCTATTTTTTACAACTTTCTTCCATCTATAAAACATATTTACGTTTATATTATATCTGTTAAAGGTATCTAAGGATGGGAAAACACGATAATGTTCAGTTTCCGCCTACACCTATGAGAAAAGGGGTAATAAAGTAAATATAATGTTTACAAAGCGTCTTTTCTGAGAAAGAAATTAATAGGCATCTATCGATCACTATCCCACGACTTCCAAGAGCCAAGAAAATGTATAACTATGGAGTGCAGTGCACTAGAAACCAAACGACTTATTGCTGTAATACGTATATAATGTATAGATACAGATAAAGCTGTATTCTGCCAAAGAGCAGATGAAACCGCAGCGCTTGTATGAACGTGACCCACTGAGGCAGAAACCGAATGCGCGTCTGGGGAAACACTTACGCTACCCAGATGAATTGCACTGGATCTTTAAGTTAAATTCTTCTGTTCTTTGCAGCTGTTCGTAAACTTCTTTGATTTCTTAGTTTATTTTTGTTTATATAGTTTGAAAAAGGGCGATTAAAAATGATGGCGGTAATCAAATCATTTACCGGATTATTGAAGTCAATAGAGCAACAAAAATAATGTCGTTAGGTTAGGTTAGAACGTGAAATAACCCCAATACGAAGCAAATTGCTCATAACATATTCATAGTGTCATGTACAGCTTTAATTTATTACCGATCTACGATTGGATTGGTTTTGTTTGATAAATGACATATAGAACAATATGTCACGTTACGCCAATGACAGTGAATAAATCACAAATCCAATATGGCGGATATCAATCAGTTCTTACTCTGATAGAAATAAACGATTAGTTGATCTTGATATCTGCATGATTAAATACACGAGTTATCAAAGACTTTTAGGATTTGAATATGCCTTTGTGGATCTGAATCAAGATAAGTTTCATCTTGATCTTTTCCCAAGTGGGTCGTAAGATGTGACAAGGGTTATATTAGATGGCTAGGAAACAGCTCACATGTTTGAAGATAAAAAGAGACAAATCAGAATGTTAGATAACAGAGACATCAAAATGCGACATTTGATTGTTCTGATGAAGAACCAAACAATTCTTTTGTTGTATTATTTTCTGATTCAGTGACCTTTATCGGCAGAAATTTCACTCGTTACTTCACAACAACCTAGTTTAGTCAACACTCGACGGTTCATACACACGCCAAACAAATAGCCGCACAAACCGCGTCGTTTTGCGTTAAAAGTGGTGTTTTCTGTATTCGACCAGCACAATATGCGTGCTCAAATAGCAACGACCTCTCGCGTGTGTCAAAGGCAAACACTCGAGCTGCTTTGAATGGTGTTGCTAAGGTGCTTACTCCGGCCAAGTTATATAGATCCTTAGGGCAAAAGCCTTGGAAATGTGACTCCTGATATACGTAAAGCCGTGTTGAGGAAAAAGTTTTGTTGACATTTTATTTTCGTTGCTCAGTTTTGAATTTAGAGCGTGACTGATTTGCCGGGGGCTTAATTAACGAATGACTGATTAACGCATACTGCATAGTGAATTAGTGATCATCTATTCGTTAATATTGCTGGCTAAATGTGGATCGACGCATGAACATGGCATTGTTTGAATTAATTAATGCTTGTTATCAAGTTATTGTAGGCAATATTATTTTGTAGCGCATTTGCAATTGTGTTAATAATGGCGTTAATCCGTGAAAGAGTTTAATTATTATACGATTTTTTATAAATACAACAATCAATTATATTTTATGTACAACTTTGATAGCGTTTAAGCCCTAAGAAACATTTTTTCGGAACACTAGGAAAGAAACTACCGTTGTTTCATTCGTCTTTGTGTGCTAAAAGTAATGGATTAAAGCTAGCGTTATAAATCTTACCATCATTGATGAATGGGTAGATAGACCGTAGTTCCGCCTCGTAAGCCTCCAGAGATATCGCTGGTGCTATCGGAGGAACGTAATCGTCTTCTGGAGAACGTTCTGAACCGTAACCTTGGTCAAAACCAGGATCTTGGAGCTTCCACACTGGTTCTGCGTCGGAACCTGAGAATAAAATTGATGGTTAGATAGCTGTTAGTTAATGGCTGGTGAGTACATATAAAAATGTGTTAGATATTAATTACGTATTGGTAAGGAAAAGAAATTATTTCATTGAGAAATAATTTTGCTGAAAATATTATACAAAGCTAACAATATTGTCGATACTGAAGTTCAACTTGTTCTGTGGGAGCGATGAAGCAGAATTGAGCGAAGTGAATGGAATCGTATAGCAGATACGACGTCTAGTAGTTACAAGTCAAATCGATTGAACTCGAAAGCGTATCCTTACAACTTACGAATGCGGTACTCAAGTCCGTACGTTCAATCAATTGAAACTATTCGAATTTAGCAACAACTATATTTGTAAATGTGTTCTTCATAGTTCAATATTCTACAGACGTGAAGTTGACCGTACATCTATTATGTATAGTTCCCTCGTGAAAACCAAAGATACTCTTTTAATATTCCAAGAAAATCACGAACCCATTGATATTTATCCCTGGAGCATTTTACAGCTTATGGTGAACGTATTATAAATACATATTACATGTAATGTATGTACGCGACTCTTGGGAATATCTTTTGGCAAACAGTAAGAATTTGTAGGTACACTCTTTGTTCGTAAATCTATACGAAACAAATCTTTATCACGGCGAAATAAGGTTTAATTTTATTTATTTATTTATTTATTAAAACTTTATTGCACATATAGTGAAATTGGCGGACTTAATGCCGTAGGCATTTTCTGACAGTCGACCATTGGGTGGTGCAGAATGTTAAAGCGTAATTTTAGATTTACTCTATTTCAGGATATCCGAACACAAAGTAGCAATGTTTCATGTAATATGTAAAGAAATTCTAATAATTTTCTTTTGTTTTCCCAACCGTTGATTGGCATTTATTTGATCGGGTTTGAATATCAAATAATGCGGGTTATCTTTTGTTTTTGGGGTCATTCAATTGTTGTTCCCCTTTTATGTTGTCGGTTGGTTAGGTAATCCGGTCGCCCGTATTTTGTAACGAAGTGTCCTAGCGCATGACTATCAACAAAATCCGATCAATATTTTCAGAATGACTATTTGTATACTACAGCATTTATTTAAATAGATACGAGAACGAGGCTTCGTATGAAAATAAGGTACGTATGTTTAGTTTGGAGCATATTCTTACGTGAAAATGTATTATGTATGAAGGAACGGCGAGTAAAATATCGCTTTGCGTGCTTCGGATTAGTTAGGCGGCTCTGAATATGGCGGGGTACGTTTGATTTATGTTGTACACCCCATAGGAACCTAGTCACTACTAAATCTAGCCAGTTATTTAACTGTATATTAATTTTCTATGGCCAATAGTCATTTGTCAGAGAAATGCCAGTATCTACAATAATCACGTCAAATGTGGTGTTCATGGGAATCGAATCGGCTTTATCTATGGACGTATCTGACATGCGATTTTGTCATTACATGGCGAGCTCTCGTATCGTGGTATTCTGTAGTTCATTCAATGAGTGCCACCTAATAATTGTCTCTATGCACATCCTTATGTGGCTGCCACAAAATATGATATTGAAATTGTGTTCATTGTACCGATAACCCAATAATTCACCTACATTTTACTCTGTTACAAGGTCTTTTCTATGTTAAAAAGTCCATTATCATATTTATATGTATTGGGTAGTTTCTATGCAGTGTTTCCTAAACAAACTGTTGTTGTGGTTATATCGTAACTTTCATGCTATCGATTCACTAGTGTGGGTTCAAGGTCACTACTGCAGCATTCAAATACGCAGTTCTTAACCTTGCGCATAGGAAATGTAGCTTCAACTGTTAGTTGCATTTTCATTTAGTAGATTACATTGGTGAAATTTGTGAATAATACGATATGGTTGAGGAAACGCATTAAATTAAAATAGAATGAACAAACGACTGTACGATTCCTTACGATATCATTAAAATATCCTAAATAACCAGGTTTGAAACTCTCATAATGCGATGCCTTTCTTATTTTTGGTATGAATACTATAACATCACGCCTTTTATCCACGAAGGGGTAGGCTGAGGTGCACATTATGCCACTGTACAATGTAACACTCACTTTTTACTATTTATGTTATGAGTCCCATGTAATAGCGGGTGAGCCTATTGCCATATACCGGGCACAATTCCAGACTCCGTGCTACTAATGAGAATATTTTTTAAAACCCAGTAATACTTTGCCCGACCCGGGAATCTTACCCGAGACCCCTTGTCCGGCGGTCGCACTTGCGATCACTCGCCCAACGAGGCAGTCATGGTATGAACAACAAAACAACGAGGTATGAATACTATATTTTTTTTATTCGACACAGTTGAAAGAAAGAATTTATTTCCCTTGATTGTATTAATTTTCTGTTAAAATACGTCCACGTGCTCTCCCAGCGATACAAAACCCCTTTGTACCCTTTGATGACGCCCACGCCTAAAAAGTAACACATTGGTATTATTTATTTTTAGGCTACCATAGCCAAAGGGTTAAAGGGCTCTGAGCCTACGCATTTTCCTATTCACTTAATAGGTATGTGTACAAATATATAGTATTTGTTACAAATTACATTTATGTTGGAACCTTGGGAAATTCTTAAACAAGCTTCTTTGTAAGGATACAGATACGAGGTTATGTTATGATATCAATTCTAGACCCTATGTATGTGATGTGATCAATGTTTTAGGCTGGGTTCAGTGTCGCGCTGACTGCACGCTGACCGTCGGCGCTGATAACCGAGTCAGATGAACTTCTAGGAACCGTGCGCGCTGATAGCTACGCGTCATTCAACAACGCTACCTAGAAGTTCATACATTTCGTCTGTCAGCGCCGATGGTCAGCGTGCGGTCACTAAAACTAGCCTAAATACTGCTAAACAACGAACAATCAAATCAATGAAAAAGAAGTTTTGTATTTCCATTTGTTTATTGTTTTTTTTTATGTTTGTTTTCTTTATCAAATCTGATTTTGGAAAGTATCTAGTATTTAAGCACAAGATACATAATCAAAATCGTTAGATGTACGCTCTGGGGTGAGACATTCAAATAAATCAAAGAAATGGACTGAAAGAGCCACAACCCACAAAGAGTTCAGGCGAAAATTTTCTAATTTATTTCAGTAACGGCCACAGTGTCCAGTGATCCTAGTGGGGTAAAAATAAGTAGCAACGAGCTCAAAATAGAGGGGACAAAAGCACGAAATGCGTGGACATAGGCTTGTGTTGGTGAACCTATTGCTTTGTTGTTTTTAGTGTATGAGCGCTAGTGGTAGGCTCAGTTTCTACGTCACAGTCGAAGTTTTCAAGGATTTACAGACCAAAAATATAAACTACCTATTCTGAATTTTAAAAGATCCAATGGAAAATGTGTTTTAGTGGTCTGAATATATGTGAATTGAATATGTGTGTCATGTGAGTTTTCAGATGGAACAAGCTATAAAGTTGAACTTTGAACTCTTTGCATTAACAATTTCAATAGAAACAGGCTACTTCTAAGTAAAATAATGGCTGACCTCCCAAGGCTAAGTTTTCAGTTATGAATCTAGAGTTCTATTCAGTTTCAGGACACAAGTTTGGTAATGTAAACACCGCTGTAAACCTCCCTCGGTGAATAGTCAGCAGACCGTGTAATGCTCATGCATAATCATGATATTAATTATTTACGAATTCCTACTCGAGCTTTGCACTATCCCTTTCATTAATTAAATCTGCGTCAGCATCATCTTCTGTATTTATTTTATAATAATTTGATTAAAAATTCACGGATGACTCATATTTGTGTTGAACGTAATTTTATACAGTCAGTACCGAGTGATTCGTGAAGTTTTACATACCATAGATTTTTTTTATATAAAACCGAATTTAATGTTTCTAAGTGTTTTAAAACTACAAGCAAGCTTATTGCTATAAAGTATCGTAGTGTATTTCTAGTTACATTTTATTGATCAAATTCAAGATAACTGAGTACCTACATTTTCCTTAATTTCATCGAAAGAGCCAGACAGTGAAAAAATAGGGAACTTTATCGAGTGTGCAATGAACGTTTGACCTCTATACATCAGCCGTGATTGACGTTTGATAGACATTTCTCGGAAATAGCTAACCTAATTCAATCTAGCTCCGAATGTCACAAACGTCGATTTCCACCTGATTCACTCCTATTATAATTAATTGTATTCTATTTACGTAAAAATGGCCGACTAAAGGAAACATGTTCTCGCAAAAAGTTTCCCGAAAAACGTCCCTTTACGCACGATGTTTACAGAATCTTTTTCGTTTGTTTACGGAAAAAGAAATGCGCAAGTTCAAAGGTCGAAAACAAAATATTATAAGGCATTTAGATGTGTATTTATTTTATCTATTATTATTGTTTTGGCTTCAAACTTTTATATCATTTAATTTTACTAAGATAAAAAAAGTATTCACACAATTAGGGCCATGTAGTTCACCATCAGTTCCTATAAAATCTACAGGAATAGATAATTTTTATGTTATGTCAAAGAATTAAGAACAAAGTTCTAATCAAAAAATTTAGGAATCCGTCAAAAAGAAGGTTGTTCATAAAATGCAATCTTGCGATGTAGAACCCGTAATAGCTGTAACCATTCATAAAGCCCATCATTCTGTGCGTAAAAAATGTTCAAAGCTTTAACATCTTCCGCTACCATATTTCACATTTCATATTTAGCTCCTTACTCCAATAGTACGTAATGGACGACCCTCGAACGTAAGATGCGTCGGCTTATCGTAACGGCGCCGGTTTCGACGTGATTTATTGTGTTTACACCTGCACCTTATTGGTTCCTATTATGGGCACCCACACAACAACTACTGGTGATTGGCGCCTGTTTTGATCCGGAATGCTTGAAGAGTTGCTATTGGTTTTTATTGGGCACTGAGTGCGTTAGCTGCTTGTTCGGATTTATGATGAATTGTTACTATTTATATCATAGATAAAGTTACACTTCAAATCAGGAGTGGTTCA